GTCTAAAAATCAGGAATAGCTACAATAATTTTTCAAAAATGAAATCTATATGAATAAATGCGAAATAAGAGAACAATTCTCCCATACATTCTGGAGTTAAAAAGCCCAACTCTACTTTATAGCAATTTACACGGTAAACGCTCAATATCTGTATTATATATTATCTACTTCTAGGCGATACTACTTTTCAGGTTTAACTATTTTACATATTGATTTTAAAAAAAATATTTCATTAATTAACTGTCCGTCATTACTGTTCTTTTATTCGAGGATTGTTTTGATTTTCATGTCAAAAATAAGTCCGTTTAGGAATATTGTCTTATATAATGCAGAAAAGTGTTTGAAATTTGCATTTTACTTGGACTTCAACAAGTTGGCATCTATTTGTAAAACTTTCCTTAACTATAATCGGCCAATTTATGAATGAAATGTCCATTTAAAATTTTTGTTTTAAAGATTTCAAGTAGTGAATATATCTTACTTTGCGAAGCGATAGCGAGCGAGTGAAGCCTGCTAGTATATGATCAACTAATACACACACACACACACACACACACACACACACACACACACACATATATATATATATATATAATTTAGCTCTTGAAAATATATTTTCAATTGAGTACTGTTGAATGACAAGCTAATTCTAAAAACAACGGTCCTTTGCGTAAATGCGAAGCTCTTCAGTAAAATGAATTGAGCACTATGGCTGCTTGGCGTTTGTTTATGTTTGTAAAAACAATATGCTAGATTTAGCTCACTCTCTCTGTCGAATGATGATAGCTCAGTGGTAGAAACTCTGACTGATCGTTTGGGTTTAGATCCGGGCTTGAGGTATTCGGATGTCTAGTCGCACTGAGGAGCTGTGATACAGCGCAACAGTACTATATATATATATATATATATATATATATATATATATATATATATATATATATATATAAATAGATAGATAGATAGATAGATAGATAGATAATATTAGTGGTAAATATACACATACATATGCAAAATATATAAATGAAACTTCTCTCTGTTAAGGTTTAATCTCCCACCTTCTCTCGTCTGTTACCCCTCTCTTTAGCTCTAACATTCGTTCCACACTTTCACTGCCACTCTCTCTAAATTCTATTTTTATTTCCGGAGTTGTTTTTTTCTGTTTTCTTTTTCAATTTGTAGGTCTGATGAATTGATTGTATTTACGATTCCAATGGAATAAATTATGACCATGGAATATTAGTGTTTAACATTTTTTTTATTATATATATATATATATATATATATATATATATATATATATATATATATATGTGTGTGTGTATTTTTGGATTGTCTGTACCTATATATATAATAAGTACAGGTAATCCTAAAAAATCCATTCGGTTATAATATATTTCATGAATATAATCATCTCTTCAGATGAAAGTTTTTTTTTTAATAAATGGAATCAACTTATCCAGTTGTCTGTTCTTATGAAACCCCAAAATAATCAATTTGTATCTGAATTTTCATCGGAAACTAGGAAAATGGACTGAAAAATTTACTAAAATTTACTAAAATGTCGTTATCAATGAATTAAATATATAATTGTTTTTTTGTTTTTTAGTTTATTTTATATATATATATATATATATATATATATATATATATATATATAAGAGAGAGAGAGAGAGAAAGAAAGAGAGTAATGTATATTTAGTTCTCCTTTTACATTGAAAATCGAAAGGACATATGAGGTAGAAAACTTTTTTTTAAATAAAATCGGTTTAAATTTTTCCTCACACATAGAGAAATTAAATGAGTGGGTAACCTAGAATTAAATTGATATCAATATGCTGAGAGCTGAGACCTTTGTAAGTATGATACACACAGTTTGCGATAGATAAATTATCCACATTTTATATTTTTTTTTATTTCGAGCATGTGCGTTGTTTTTTGTCGACTGCACAGTATTGTAGGGCCAGTTGGAAACCGTCTGTGAGAATAAGATCATGACGCAATTAACTCTGTCAGAGATTTGGAAACGACATGCTCTACTGCTTGTCATTCGCGCTGGAAGTTCCAATACAAACATTTCAGATTGTTTGGCTGTCAAACTGAGAACAGTGCAGAGGATTCGGAAAAAGTTGGATGAGTTTAATAGTGATTACGAAGGTACGACAGCTCATAAAACTCACTCCGATCATTCTGACGAGAAAAGAATTCCCGAATTTGTTGGTGAGGGCCTCAGACTCAACACGGAGACCTATATCAAGTGCCTCGAGGGTCAAGATGATAGTTGTTGAAAAATTCTATGTCTGGCACCATGCTGTCAGACAATTTCTACGATTACACCGCCCCTTACATCTGTTCATCTAACTCCTGAGACTGCACCCCCTTGATTATTAATGTGTGGGGCGCAGTTGAATGGGAGCCCAACAAAATTCCTTGTAACACTAAAGATGAACTGAAGGCAAAGATTATAGCAGTATTCACCATCCTAAACAAGGAGACCGTCCAGACGAGTTGCAGGAGATTCCGAAGTCGTCTGGAGACCGTATTGAAGAAATTTACTCTTTAGTATTTCAAGATATATTTGTGTAATTTTGGTAAATATATCTTTTAAAATGAGAAGTCAGTATTATTTTCATTTTTGCGTAATTTAGGCGACAATAGCACCCTGTCTCTCTCTCTTCTTTATATATATATATATATATATATATATATATATATATATATATATATATAAACAAATGCCTAGAGGTACAAAATCTGTATACTGTTTTAAAAACAAGGTATTTATTAATGGTAATAGACTCTTTCGTCCAACATCTCATCAGGAGAAAATCGTTGGAAAAATTGACAAATTAAACGAAAAGAATAAAACGAAAATGAAGAGCAAAAAAAAGTGGGGGAAACATGCTAAAATCAACATATATATATATATATATATATATATATATATATATATATATATATATATCACTGTAACGGGATTGTTATTTTCTTGAAAAAGTATATATTCTGTATTGATATATGTGTGTCTGTATTGTCTTGTATTGGATATATGTGTGCGTCTGTTGGGCACTTCGACGCAGTGTAATGGCGAGCAAGCTTGTTTGGCTAGATCAATTACAACTGAGCAGTGAGTTTGATCCTCACTGAGCGCTCAGCATTTTTGGCCTTGTGCCGCAGCTAAGCTACGTTTAGAAAATCATTTTAGGGCATTTCGACGTGGCGTAATGGTTAGCAATCATGTTTTGCTAAATCAATTACGATTGAGTAGTGATTTCGATTCCCACTGGGAACTCCATAATTTTGGCCTTGTGCCACATCTAAGTTACGGTCAGTAATCATATATATATATATATATATATATATATATATGTTTGTGTATGTGCATGACAGGCTGTAGCGGAGTTATGATATCAATCGCATGAGTTTTTCGAACAGGAGATAGTGTAGTAATAGCATTGTGTTTCGAATTTAGAAATCTCCCGGAGGGGAAAAAAGACACATCTTGTCTACATATCATCCCTTGATTGAAGACTGAACAATTTGAGAGAAAGGGTTTGTGCCTTTATCTTTTATACTGCTTTGTACAACGCCACCTAGTGGACGTTAGATGAAGTTTCACTCTTAAATGGAAGAGTGAGAAAGAAAAATAAACTCTCGCCAAATCTGCCTCCGACGGAATTAGTTCCTTGCTAGAACTTAGTCCTCTCAAAGACGCCGATTGTCCAAACGGAAGTGAACATCTCCGCTCAATTTCTACCCACCCACTGTGGTTTATTTCGCCTTATTTCAGTGCCGCCCACTTCAGCTCAGTACCCTAAATATTGCCTGCATTTACCACCAACTGATTATCCGAAGCTTGTAGAATGTATTAGTGATATCTGCCTTTTGCTGTGTGTGATAAGTCACACCCAAGGAAGTATGTTTGAACGTTTGCCACAGAATTTGGGGATTGGTGGCATTTTCGCCAGATGTCAAATATTATAATGTTAGATAAATGCGAATATTTCCAAAGTTTGAAGACAAAATCTTTTTTGAAAAACTTTAATTTATACAGAATAAGAATCTCATTATTTCTTCATCGATGCATTTTCAAGGATTTCTATGAACTTATGCCACCTTTCACTTAAATAGTGTATTGCCATTATGACGTGACTTAGACTATGTTGGCTATATCCTCTGCAGAGGGGTAAGCCCTACTTCCAAAGGAGAGCCAACTTGCAGACTCAGGTGTAAACCAGACGTATTAATTCGTTACTTACATTATTTACATTATTCGGATTGTTATCCTCAAATTCATTGCAAAATTTCTTTCTTTCTTTTTGGTTTCTTTCTTTCATTCATTCTTTCCGTTTTGAAGAATCAATTGTCATGTCAAATATATCATCCTAACTAACCCTTCCTTAAAAACATCATACGACAATGTTTAACGCAGAAGCGGTGTATTGACAAGGATAAATCACTACAACCAACAGCAAAATACCTTTATCCACTATGTGTCCTTGAGGACATCTGTGTATGAATTTCTGGATATTATAAAACTAATGTTTCAGCAACCCTTTTTTTTTTTTTACCAGTGCTCATATTACTATTTTTGCTGTTATCATTTCATGTTTTTCCCAGAGCTCATATTACAGTTTTGGTCCCCCATATTGTATACATTTCTAGGCTTGTTCGGCTCAGGAGATTTTTGTGGCCTAGCATATGTTACACCTGATTCATACGGGGCGCCAAGTTTACGAATTTTTCAATGGTGTTCTTTATCTATGATCGCAACCTGATCCCACAGAGAGTGGCGATCTCCCTTTTCTCTCCATATGTGGTCAGCCGATATGAACCTAGTTCGATAGATATGAATATAGAAAGATAGAGAGATAGATATGAACCTAGTTAGCTATTTATGAACCTAATTAGAAAGATAGATATGAATCTAGATAGATATGAATCTAATTAGATAGATACATATGAACCGAGAGCGGTAGAAAGACAGTAAAAGAGATATGAACAGACTGAAATAAATAACTGAAAAGATAGATAGATAGATAGATAGATATGAACAGACTGAGATAGATGTGGGGAATAAATAGATGACCTTTTCTCTGATTAAGATTTAGATAGATAATAGATGTCTTTCTACGCAAAAGTAGGCTAACAGAGATAGATAGATCATGTCTTTTCCTTTCTTTCTTTTATTATTTCTAACATTCTTCCAATGAAAAGATAGATAGATATGAAAAGACTGACTCAGAGATAGATTGATAGATATGAAACTCAAGAGATAGATAGATATGAACAGAGATAGATAGATATGAAAAGACTGAGATAGATAGATAGATAGATAGATGAATGAAGATAGATAGATGAATGAATAGACTGAAATAGATAGATAGATAGATAGATAGATAGATGATATGAATAGACTGAGATAGATAGATAGATAGATAGATAGATAGATAGATAGATAGATGATGAAAGACTGGATAGATAGATGAAGATATGATAGATAGATATGAGATAGACTGAGATAGATGGATAGATAGATAGATAGATAGATAGATAGATAGATAGATAGATAGATAGATGATATGAACAGACTGGGGATAGATAGATGATATGAACAGACTGAGATAGATAGATAGATAGATAGATAGATATGAACAGACTGAGATAGATTGATGGATATGAACGGACTGAGATAGATGGGTGGATATGGACGGACTGAGATAGATAGATAGATAGATAGATAGATAGATAGATAGGAAAAGGTTGAGATAGAAATTTATCATGGCTTATGCAACTACTACGCTAGTCACCGATTTACAATAGGATATTTAATTGACCCCAAGAAAAGGAAGTTTGTGATTTTTCGTAAACATTTACTAAACTTCCAAAGTGCAATCAATGAAGATCGTATTTCGTGGACAAGCAATCAACAATGAGACTAGTTTGTTCACTATTGCTCAAATGCAGTCTTATTTTTTTTTTCTTTTAAAAATAGGATTTAAATATTTTAGTCAACGAAATAGTTGTCTTGGATTTGTCTTTTTAAGAATCGTATTCTTTGAATCTTCCAAATATCCTAAATTATAACGTTTTTCCAGACGGGTTAAATCTGAATATTTTATATAATCAGGATTCATTATTGTTTTCTCTCTTATCTTGTACCCATTCCAGCAGTCAAAAAGTAACGAACATCGCTCTTCCTCTTTAAATCCCACTCCCATAAAATATGCCCCCTTTTGCTATCAAGCGAAAAGAATGTAGATAAATAACAAGGTTATATGCACTCGTAATAGAATATAATTTCGTCTTTCGTTTGTCGTCTGCTCAGCTTCATAATTTGAAATCCATCGTTCTCTTTTCTCGCCATATCTTCGCCTGTAAAAGTCACTCTTTAGTTACCAAGTTGCTAATTACTTACCTGTCTCGTCTGGGCGTATCTTATCGCTTAAACAACGAGAAAATGCTGCACGAATGTGAGCGCCGGGCCGGTAAAGAAACGAGAAAATTAATTTTTAAAAAGTAGTTTTAGGTTTATTTTTTACTTTATTTATATACGAAAACTATAAAAATGGTATTCTAAATCTGTTAGATTATAAAAGTAACGGAAAAGGGGGAATAAAACAAATTTTAGGTGGAGTAATGGATAGTAACTCAGATTAAGGAATCGGAGAGCCGAGTTCGAATTCCAGTTGAGTTTGTCGCGTTCACTTATGTACTAATACCCTTGGGAAAGGTATGAACCCATCTCTTCTCCCCCATAATGTTCTGAAAAGTTACGTTGGGTGGGTAACCAGTTGGAAAGAAAATTGAATTAAAAACCATTCTAAAGAGGGTTGTGCTTCGCCAGGATATCAGGAAACAATGCTGCTACAGCAGCTGCCGTATATGGTGTCGCTACGACCATAATGGGTTACGGTTTAAGAAAAAATACTTTTGGAAATGACGTTACCTCACGAATGTTAGTAAATAATAATCTCACGAGTGGGCTATTTTGACTCGAATCATGAACGAGAGATGTGTTGCGTGTCATCTCTGGGTTCCCATGCTATTACATAAAATGGTATCAACGAAAGGGACGATTTCTTTTTCTTATTCGTTTTTATTAGAAAAAGAGGGTCAGACGTGGCAGCTTGAATTCTAAGAGGCAGCGGGACGAATCACTTCACGGGAATGCATGTCGCTCGTTGGCTTAACGTCACTCCGCGTGTCGTCTTAGCCTCTTTCTCCAACCTGGATGTGGAAACGTATCACGCTTCAATGTTCTTGCGTCCATCTGTCGAATTCACGCCGTTATCCAGAACCCAGACAAAGGTAATCCATCACAGAATACCACGCCCACGGGTTAGTCCGGCCAGTCACTAGCCATTCTGGCGCTGGCCTTCGCGTTTTGGAACATATACCTGTATCGCTGGAAAAATCCTTTTTAAATCATCAAGTAAAAATCTTCAGTGGAGCTTAAATCTGTTATATAGGAATAAAGTGTCGCTGCCGACGCTTGAGTTTGAACATAGATCACCATTATTGAATTAAGTGGAATCACGTGACCATAGAGGAAACGCATATATGGAAGGTAGTGCGACGTCTAATTGATCGTTATTTCTATTCTATCCTCTATTATTATACAGATTATTTCTAGTCTATCCTCTATTACTATTCGGATCGCCATTTCTATTTTATTTTCTATTACTATACGGAGCGCTATTCTATACTCTATTCACTATACTATTTCTCTATTCAGATCACTATACGGGTCGATCAAGTATTATTAGTGCGAGTTTTATTCGAAGACGTCTGACACCAGTATTGTTAAACGGCGTTACTATAGTTATATCTGCGATTACAAAGTCTCTACTACAACGAGCATTACAAAAGTGACAACTAGTATTCGTTGACATTACAAAAGTGTCAACCGAGTGTTCGTTGACATCACAAAAAATCATAAATAATAAGTAATAATCTTCAATGGAGTTTAAATCATCAAGTGATAATTCTTCAATGGAGAATTAATGCCCGCCATTTAAACGTTGAGCCACTCGAAAGGAGTTGATATATTATTTATCCGGAAGATAATATTGTAAACTGATAAATATGGGATGACATACCAATGCAGAATCGATGATATTCATTAAACGAAGAAATAAAATAAAATGCACGTATAAAATCTTTGGTACTTTCAATGAATATATATGCACATGTGGATTGAAGGCAGTTATAAAAGTATGCTGACAGACAACGCTTTTCCATTTGGTTTCGCATCCTTCACTACCCGATCTTCTGTGATCTAATTCCAAAAATTAATTCGAGTCGAATGGACGAGGATCTTCCCCCCAACCCAGAGAACGTCTTTTCTTTACAGAAACAGTAGTAATATCAGAGATTTGCACTAATATCCGTAGGGAATAAGGAAAAGTTCTTTAGACAATGTATTTCCTAAATTTTGACCAAATGTCTAAACATATTACCGAGTGGATCCCTGGACACCCTCGTGGATGACCATAAAATGCAACTGTGTTGTATGCTATATACGAGATTCGTGAACGGGTTGCTCGCGTTATACAGCGGCCATATTTCTTGTTTGGGAGTAACATATATTTTCTCATCCTTTTTAATAAAGACTTTTCTAGGTTCAGTAGAAAGCGAAAGTAGTATAGACAATTAAAAAATCCCAAATACATGGTCTGTATATATTCGAAAGTACACACGTTATATATCAAAGCAGAAACATATGGCCTGTGAGGAACCCAGCTAAAGTTTCCTTGCATTTCAAATAACGTAATGTAAGACATTAGAGAGATTCCAGAAAGAAATTTACCTGTCTCTGACGGGCATAAAAATGACAAAGTCGTCTATTGCTTCGCCGAGGCTGATGTACGTCAACAGAATTGAACTGGGCGGAGGGTAGGTGGGAAAAAAAACGTGAATCTCAGTGTTCAGGTCAGACACACTTGACTGCTTTCAACATCTTTGAGTTTACACTGTCTCAGTCTGCTTATATCAGGTTCTATTTATATCTATATGAATATCAATCTTTATATCTATCTTTTTTCCTCTCTAATTTGATTTTGTCTCTCTCTCTCCTCTCTCTCTCTCATATATATATATATATATATATATATATATATATATATATATATATATATATATATATATATATTTTTTCTCTCTACATATAGAGAGGAGAGAGATTTGTGAGCGAGTCTTGAAAAGTTCTTGGTCCGACCAAGAAAGGATGAAAAGCTGATGTTTGATAATGGATTTATGAAGTGAGTCGGTTCGATAACTTTTCATCATTCATCGTATTGCTAGCTAACTATATAAGTGTATTCTTATCTATCTATCTATCTATCTATCTATCTATCTATCTATCTATCTATCTATCTATCTGAATCTGTTAATATCTATCTTAGTCTGTTCCCATCTATCTGAATCTGTTAATATCTCAGTCTGCTCCTATCTATCTATCTATCTATCTATCTATCTATCTATCTATCTATCTATCTAAGGTTGTAAACATCTAGTCCAGTCTGCTGACATACTTTCTGAGTTCCGTTTGATTTGATTAACTATAAAAGGAAATAGGATATTTATCATTAATTGATAGGAAAAATACAATAATTTACAATAAAAGAAAAAGAAAACAAAAACAGCGAAAAACTGGAATATTTCGTTGTTTTCGAGTACCGTAACTCACTTAGAATCGAACAGCCAGGTACCATCGACACATCTGATTTGATTAAGGTTTAAAGTGCAGACCCAACCACACCAGAAGAGCCGAATACAGATAACTAGTTCACATAGTGTGCCACTAATTCCTCAAACGACCCTTCTCATGTTGGGAATTCATTGTTGCTCTTGTATTAAACTCTTTGCCACCCAAGGTTATAGGAGTGAGTTTGTCCTTCTATCTACCCCTAGCTGGGTTCATAAGTATTTGCACGTAAGTGAATGTAATGAACTCGACTGGAATTCGAACTCACCTTCCTGATTCCTCAATCTGAATAGATATCCATTACTCGACCGTGTCATTTACAATACATTTGCTAATATCTACACTCTAGACAATCTCCTTCCTTGTCAATGCACTTAAGTTAAAATTAAACTTCGAGATTTAACATTATGAAGGGAAACAAAATTCTGCTAACAAATATGTAAAAACCATGGATATATTGCTACGGCCTCATGTAATAATATATATGAATTGCCTTTTAGTATTAGCAGGAGTACATCCTTTAGCAGGTCCGGAAGTGTTATCGAAATAAAGTCCCTGTAGACAACTCCTGTAAGATGTGCTGGGAGAACATATGAACCTACCAGACAGTCACCTACAACTCCAACATGCACATTAATCGTAAACTGATGTTGGTGTCTAGCTTGTATTGTAATATGGAGATTCCGATCCGTCCACAAATGTTGGTTGTGTAAATTTGTTATTCCATCTCTTTCAAATGTTGCCTCATTCGTAAACAAGACTGAAGGGACAAACAACGGATCGGTAGTTTATGCAATAAACCATCAGCAAAAGTTCTGCCGTAGTGAGTGATCAGAAGGCGAAAGGCCATGCACACGTTGCAAATGATACGAATACAGGAGCTACTCTTGAAGTACCCTCCATGCGGTACTATGAGATGTACGACATGCTAGGGCCACTTGCCGTGTGCTTATATCTGAATAGTCTGACAGACTGTAGAATGTGTTGTTCATGATCAGGCGTACGAGTGGATCTCGCTCTTCCTCGATCGATAGTTTGGTGTGCCGCGTATCTTGTCTCAGTAACTCGGCAATA